GAGTTTGGAAGATAAGCAGGTATCTAGCTAGTATTTAGATAGGAGACCTCCAAGGAATACCAGGGTCACGACACAGAGGCAGGCCATGGCAAACCACCTCTGAACAAAGGCCACCAGGGGGCGCCATAAGTCAGCTGTGACTCAACAGGAAAAAGGGGTGGGGAGTCAAGGCTAGCATGGCCTCTTCAGCTCTTGGAAGCAAAGCCGGGTCAGCCCTGGTTAGTATTTGGATGGGAGACCACCAAGCTGGCCCGTAGCTACGGTGGGTCCATTGGGGGCTCCACCCCCTTCCTTAAAGCCCTCCTGCTTCTTCCCAAAAGCATTTAAAGGGATCCTTTAAATGCTTTTGAAAAGAAGCAGGGGGTGGCACGCGTCCCTCCCCCTCCCCTCCTGCAAGGTTTAAAGGGCCCTCCAGGCTGTGGAAGGTCGGTAGTTCAGCAGTTCGAGACCCGAGTGCCGCATGATGGAGTGAGCTCCCGTCTCTGGTTCCAGCTCCTGCCAACCTAGCAGTTCGAAAGCAAGAAATTGCAAGTAGATAAACAGGTACCACTTCAGTGGGAAGGTAACAGCGTTCCGTGCGCCTTGGTGTTTAGTCATGTCGGCCACATGACCACGGAAATGTCTTTGGACAGTGCTGGCTCTTCGGCTTTGAAACGGAGATGAGCACCGCAACCCTAGAGTTGGATTCGACTGGCTTTCGAGCAAGGGAACCTTTACCTTTTACCAGCTGATTGGTGGGGAGCATGTGGCCCGTCTTTCAGCTGGAGGGCCTTTTAAATCTTGCAGGAGGAGATGGAAAGGGGGAATGCGCCACTCTCTTTATTATTTATTTATTTATTTATTTATATTCTAATTTATATCCCGCCCTATCCCACCAGAGCAGGCTCAGGGCGGCTTCATTATGGCAAATAATAGTGGCCCCGCCAGCCACAAAATCCTAGCTACGGGCCTGCCACCAACGACTATAGGAATGCTACGAAGAGGCCGGCAATGGCAAAAACCACCTCTGCTTCTCTTGCCTTGAAAACACGATGGATTTGCCATTAGTCGGCTGCGACTTGACAGCACTTTACAGGTTCAGGGCACCGCAACCCCATGCCCTATAAATCCTACCAAGCCTCTCTTTGTCCTTTGGGAGGCTCACCGGGCTTTCAGGTCTGCATTTTGAGGACTAGAAACTTGGCCTGCCCTTTTAAGTCATGAGGAAGAGAAAACCTGCTCTTTGAAAACTATACAAACGGATATTTTCAGGAGATCAACATTCTGACCTCGTGTTCAATCATGGCACATCCACAGCTCTGATAGTAACAGGCATCAAATCACTCAACAGTCAGGTTCTTTGAAAGGTACCTCATCGTTTTCAGTGATGTACAGCACTTCATTGCCCGCGCTACCGAATACACAGGCCTGGCGGATTAATTTTAGCTCCTCCTGCGAGTGGAGAGCAAACACCGGCCACTTCCCAACATCCAGCATCTTCTTTTTGACTAATATATTGTATAATCTGTTTAAAGGTGGTCAGAAAAATAAGCAAAAGGTAAAAAAATTTCAAAATGCAATCTATTGGAAAGAGCAATTCTGTTCATGTCATTTACATATCTAAAAGGGGTGAAGAGCAAAGAGAACTTGGAAAGAAAATAAATCCTCAGGAGAAAAGCCAACCAAATGACAGAAAAAAATAGATAATTGGACAAAATGTGCCGCTTTGACGCAAAATATATTTGTCAAGACCCAGATGTGGGTCCCCGCGAGCCACTGGCCCTGTAACTGGCCAGCAGCGCACAGACCTGTGGGTCCCTGAAGCTGTCTGCACAGAAAAAACCAGACTTTTTCTTTAAAACATACGAAAAGTTTTATTAGATAACAAGGAAAAGAATACCATTAGGCAACACAGTCTTCTTCATTAAATAGCACAAAAACAATAAAAGCTGACTTTTTTTGTCTAACACGTTAGATGGCAGGGTCACAGAATTTCAGAGTCCTGAGGAACAGAGGGTCAAGCGTGTTTCTATGATTCAGCATAGTCCATAGCTCTGTCCTATGAAGTCACCAAGTCAGCAGTCACCTTCCCTTAATCTCTAGCTCGATTATACACTTTGGCCCTCTGACATCAGGTGATACTCCAAACCCAAACAGGGCCCACATTCACAGGAATTCTCTAGAAGATTGTATTCTCCTCTTCTCTCTCCCCCCCCCCCCATTTTATGGACAGGACAAACTAATTGCCACATTCTTGACAGTTATAAGAGCCTGATGGATTAATTACAGACACTTACAAAGCTGGAGTAAGCCCACTAATGTTCACATTAACCTTCAGGAGGAAACAGGGTGCTTTGCCTCACAATATTACATCAACGCCACGTGGAAACCAACGGGAATTACTCTCTGACCTCCATTACATCGGCTTGAATCCAGCACTAGACTTCTGCTACCCAAAAAGTAGCAATTTTCACCAACTTCCCCCTTCTCTACTGCAGTACCCCCCCCGTTTGCCCCTTGTGCAATTTAGGGTGCCCCATCCTCACCAGCAGCAGAATTTCTGGAAACATCTTAAGCAGAGATCTGGGAGGCAAGAAAATCCTATTCTGCTCAAAGAAATCCTTTCCAGCAGCAGAAATTATCACTGGATCAAACCCACTATATAAAGGAGGTTGGGAACACTGTTCGTTCATAAACCAGAATCAAGAAAAATTGCAGGCGGAGTTTAACCACTACAGTCTTGTCTGAAAGCCGCCAACATCACTGCTACCATCACTGTCTCCATGTAAGAAGACAGCCCCCTCCCAACTGGTATTTTAAATATCCTGTTATTTAGGTCAGAGATCGTAGGTCCAAGCAAAATCCCGAACACAAACCACATAGTATCTATCTGGTTTTTGGTTTGGACCATTGTGACTACCTGCAAGCTCTTCCAACAGCTGATAAAGAAGAAGAAGAAGAAGAGATTGGATTTATACCCCGCCCTTCACTTGGAGTCTCAGAGCGGCTTACAAACTCCTTTCCCTTCCCCTCCCCACAACAGACACCCTGTGAGGTGGGTGGGGCTGAGAGAGCTCTGACACAAACTTCTCTTTTTCAAGGACAGCTGTTCCAGAGCTTGTGACTGACCCAAGGTCACATCAGCAGGTACAAGTGGAGGAGTGGGGAATCAAACCCGGTTCTCCCAGATCAGAGTCCGCACACTTAACCACTACACCAAACTGAGAGGGATTTGTAAACTGGAGACTAAAAGGGCTGGGAAAGGACGTGTTTATGGATTTCTCCCAACAACAGAAGGTAGAACTACCCAATTTGGTAGTTTGATTATTTGATTATTTATCTTGTATATCAAACAAGGGTAATCTCAGTAGTCGAATTGTGACTTTTTATGGGTTTTATAATTGTTTTTATTGTTTTATCATATTTTATTTATTTATTGTAAGCTGCCTTGAGATGATGATGATGATGATGATGATGATGATGATAATAGGTTAACAGTCACAGTGTTCCAGTGCTCTCAGACTTCTAAAGACCTGAGTGTTTTGTATGGTATCAAAGAGACATTTGATCAATTACTGGTTTTTATTTTTTTCAACTGAATGCTTCCATGTTTTCCCCTTTTTCTTTTTTTTTTGCTTCTCCACCCAGAAAGCCAAGGATGCAACCTGACACCAGCACCATTTCCGATCTATATACATGCTCAGCATTTCACAGAGGATGCTTATAATACAGAGTCTTAGAAACATGGCCTGAAACATCTCCCCCACCCCCACCATCTGAAAATATCCAGCCCAATAAAGAGTTTTGAAGAACCAGAAAGGTTGCATGCTCTTTTGTATCAGTTTTGCCACTCCTAATAAAAGGAACCTTTATATTTGAAGACATTATTCTACTGCATCATATAAAGTTCTGCTCTTTGCTCCCAAAGAGAAGTTTCACCCACACTAGCTCCTGTTTATGCCAGGTCACTCAGTGCACACAGAGAAAAGCACTCCATTTCTGCCCTTCAAAACAACACAAAACTATGCAGGACAGCAAAGAATTGCCTTACCTTTAACGTCCAAGAGCTTCCCGTTCAGCTTGTTCAGGAGTCTCTCAAATCTAGGCTGTTTCAGTGGCCTACAGAAACAACCCAGCAGCAAGAGTATAAATTTGTGCAATAACGGTTAGTGTCTCAATATGAAAAAAAAAATCTATTACAGCAATAAAATTGACTGTTTTCCTGTGCAGCTTTTTAAACCCCACCAAAGGATGCTTTGGTATTTAGCAAATATCTTTCCAGTGTGTCCCATAGAGAACTGTGTAATATCTGAATGAGATACACACCCAGACCAGCAATAAGGGACTTGTCCCAGTATCAACAGTTGTTTTCAGTGCCCAGATACCTTGGGCTGCCATGTCAGTTGCAACTTCCCCAGAAACACACGTGCATAACCCCACAAAATGACATATACAGGAATTTTTAAAAATCACAACCAAGAGCTTAAAACACATTTATCTACATCACTAACCTATAGTTTAAATTTATAACTTCACACACACTTTTTAAAACCCTAACAGAGAAAAAAGTATAAACCAGTTTTAAGTACATCACTGTTAGCACTGGTCCAGTGGCAGAGGACATGCTATATGGCAGGGGTGGCCAAACTTGCTTGTGGAAAGAAAGCAACTTTAAATGTGCCCCCCAAGCCCTCCTCATCAGCTGGCTTCGCTTGGAGAAGGGATTTAAAGAGACAAATGGTCGGCAGAGGGCAGGGGGACTTTGAGAACGCATATAAAGTTAGAGTTGCTTTATTTCTCTGCTCCCCCCACTTCAAGCCCACCCAGGGAGGGGAACACTGGCTAGGGAAGGGAAGACCCATTGGGGAGGCATGCCCTTCCCTTCGCTTCCCCAGCCGCCCTCCCGGGAGCCACACAATATGTGCGAAGGAGCCTCATGCGGCCCCCGAGCCACAGTTTGGCCTCCCCTGCTATATGGCCTACAATGCGCCAGCAGAGTGGATCCAGTACTAGCCCAAGACATGGCGTACTCTATTTGTTGTCTTTATTTTTGTACGCTGCTTTGATTTTCAACTGGGAAGAAAAGTGGAGTCGAAAACACCTACATAAAGCTGGGCCGCCACCATGAATGCCCCACTACGCACTTTTGTTCATTTTACCTGGTATATAACTGGCAAATTTCATAAGGAATCCACTGCAAATCTTATGGATCACAAGCGCTCATATATCAGTAATAACAGTTCCTTTAGCTACACAGGCCCCACGTCGCCTAATCAGCACGCTGAACTGCATCCAGAAACTAAATGCTGGCCAGTGAAACTGCTGAAATGCCGATCCATTTCCCCGCTGCTCCACTCCTGCCAGAAAGCAGGCTGCCATAGTCTGTCAACAAAGAAAAGGCAAGAGAGGGTGAGAACACACACACACACAAAAATCAAATACTTTTAATGGCATATCAATAAAATACATGGTGTCATAAAATATGAGCAAGGAGGCGTTACAGAGACAGCAAAATAAGGCAGATCATACAGAAAGCTTGTTATCTATCTTTAACTGCTTCAGCCAAGAACCTAGCAACCAGAACTGTGATGTCCGGGTTTCTGTCATTTACTCTGTCGTTAACACAATGTTTAGGGTATAGTGGAGAGGAAAGGAGTTTCTTACGTGAACCTGCATGCAACTGACAATCCAAGATAATGTGATGGATTGAATCTATCGATTTTAGAGGACAGATACATTGCCTTTCATGGAAAGGGACTTTGTTATACCGACCAGTTAATTTTTTTGAGGGGGAAATATTTAGTCGGGCCAATGTAAAAGCTCTACGATGAGTGTGGATGAGAACACTAAACACAGATTTAATTCAAGAAATGCCCCACTTTAACAAATAAAGCATGGGTTAATAGCCATCTTCCCTCCCCACCCCCCTTCTCCAACACAGTGTCTAGTTCCTCACCATAGTCTTACATTCTGAAGTATCTCTTGGGAGAAAAATACAGGTGAACTAATTAAGCCAACAAAGGGGTGATGGTACAATTATAAGAAAATCAGTGTTCCACGGCTGGTATACTATACAACGGGCGGTATCATTTTTGCAGTTTTTAGGATTTCGTAGCTCTACACTACTAAATAAATGCTATCCCTCTCTGAGAATTTTAAAAATTAAGAAATCACTATAGCCAAAGAAGGCTACATTGGACAGTGCTGTGAATAAAATAGCAGCTTGAATTGGATATGAACACATAGGTGCCTAGGACATAAACCCACTTCAGTTTAAATCAATAAATTAAGTAATCTTTAAGCACATCGGAGTTACTTCGAATCTTGCAACACTGATCCCAACTCTCTTTGCCAATATATAGAAGAAGAGATTGGATTTATACCCCACCCTTCACTACCTGAAGGAGTCTCAGAGCGGCTTACAATCTCCTTTCCTTTCTCCTCCCCACAAAAGACACCCTGTGAGGTAGGTGGGGCTGAGAGAGCGGAGAGAAATGCTCATGAGAGAACAGCTCTGAAATACTTGTAACTGACCCAAGGTAACACCAGCAAGCTGCATGTAGACAAGTGGGGAATCAAACCTGGTTCTCCCAAATTAGAGTCCATGCTCCTAACCACCAATCTGGTAGGAGCGTATCATCTCGAAGGAACAAGTTTTCCACAGAAATGAGGGAATCCTAGAAGCCCTGCTGCCCAGAGAACATCGTCCCATTCTTCAATCCTGAAGGTCAGGGGAAAGAGCAAGTTGGGACAGCAAGAGGACACAATAACTGAGCTGTCCTGCGGCACCATTGTTCTCGCATCTGAGAAAATCCATGTGACTTTCTGAGCTAAGGGTGCCTTCAATGCTATTCTAGGAAAAAATGACCTGGGTACCAAAAGTTAAGGAGACACTAGGAAAGGTTAGGTGGAACAAGAGTGCACACAAACACAGGCCTACACTCTACCACTTGTTTTTTTGCACTTCTTGGTGTGGATCCTACCCTGTTCCTACTGCTCCCCTCCGCAAAGCTTATTCATTAATCGATTAAAATCGGCTAGCCCGATCTCATCAGATCTCGGACGCTAAGCTAGTATTTGGATGGCCAGTATTTGGATGGGAGCCCTCTAAGTAATAGCAGGGTTGTGATGTGAAGGTAGTCAATGGCAAACCACTTCTGAACATCTCTTGCCTTGAAAACACTATGGGGGTCACCATACGTCAGCTATGATTTTCCACCACCACACCTTTCATTTCAGCTCAGTTATGAAGTTCCCCCAGTCTAAGGAGTCTTCCCCTAATTTAAGTGACTTTTCTGTTGTAGGAACAGATTCAGGTGGGGTAGCCATGTTGGACTGAAGCAGCAGAACAAAGGTTGAGTCCAGTGGCACCTTTAAGACCATCAAAGTTTTATTCAAGCTATAAGCTTATACCGTGAATAAAACATTGTTGGTCTTAAAAGATGCCACAGGACTCAACCTTTGTTCTGTTGTACGAACAGCCACAGAGGCGCAGATGTGGTGGCTCAAGTGGTTAAGACGCTGAACTGCAGGCTGTGGAAGGTCAGTAGTTCAGCAGTTCGAGACCCGGGTGCTGCATGATGGAGTGAGCTCCTGTCTCTAGTTCCAGCTCCTGCCAATCTAGCAGTTCGAAAGCAAGAAATTGCAAGTAGATAAATAGGTACCACCGTGTTTAGTCATGCCGGCCACATGACCACAGAAACGACGTCCTGCGTCTTCTGCCAGCGCTGGCTCTTCGGCTTTGAAACGGAGATGAGCCTAGAGATCGGAGCTCACTCCATCACGCGGCACACTCGGGTCTCGAACTGCTGAACTACCGACCATCCACAGCCTGCAGTTCAGCGTCTTAACCACTTGAGCCACCGCAGCTCCAGTTAGTGGTTTTATGGTGCTTTTAATGGCTTTTTGAAATATGCTTTAGTTGTAAATGTGCATTGCTTGCAGACCTGTATGTCTGGAACCCGCCCTGGGCCTACAAGGTGGGGAGGGCGGGATAGAAGCCTAAGCAGCTAAATAAATAGTCCAGCGAGTCAGCTTCGCCCCTTCTGTGCAATTCGTGGTGGGCCTCCGCTTGCAGCTCGACGTCCTGCGCTTCATCCTAACCCCCCCCCCCTTTTCATTCTCCCGTGTGGGTAAACGCTCGTGAGCGCCTACCTGTTCACGTGTTGCCTTTTACCCCGCCCAGGCGGCTGCTACGTGCGAACAGGTTGACGCGTGTCTGCTTCAAAAAGGCACGTAAAGGTGTCGGGAGTTCGTGTGGCGACCGTCAGGCGCTAAAGCGGCTCGGAAGCGAGACGAGGCTGAAGGCCAAGCGTCCCGCCGCCGCTACCGGGGGACGCCTCCCTTCTCCGCCCTCGGGGGACTCCCACCGCCACCCCCACCCCCGGCAGGTGCCCCGAAGCCCGCCCAGCGGTTTCCTCCACTCCGGCAGCCGCCCCCCCGGCTTACCTTCCCCTGCAGGCCCCGGCCCAGCGGCGGATGAAGCGGAGGCGGCTGGGCGATGGCGCCGCCTCAAAGGCGAGGGGGCGGGAAAGCGAAGTCGGCGGGGCGCCTCCCGCCCTGCCTCTGAGGGAGCCTCCCGGGGCGGGTCCTCCTCCGTGTACCTTCCGAGGAGGAGGAGGAAACGGGGTCTGAGGGAATCCGGGCCCGTCCGCGTGGAGCCGACCTGGGTTGCAAATGGCGGGGCTCGCCCGACTAGGCCCGTCGCGGCCTCCGAGGTCTTTCTCAGGAGCCTTTCCTCAGTCCGCAACGCGCCTCTTGTCTGCCACCCGGGAGCTCTCCGCACCTTCCCTCCCTCCGGCCCTCCCTCCGGCCTTCCCTCCGGCCTTCTCCTAAAGCAAAGCTAGAGTCCAGTGAGGGGGGGGGGCACCCCTTGAAGACCCACAAAGTCTCAATGGTCTGGCCAGGGGCGGATTAACCATGAAGAAGAAGAAGAAGAAGAAGAAGAGATTGGATTTATACTCCGCCCTTCACTACCCAAAGGTGTCTCAGAGCAGTTTACAAACTCCTTTCCCTTCCCCTCCCCACAACAGACACCCTGTGAGGTGGGTGGGGCTGAGAGAGCTCAGACAGAAACTGCTCTTTTTCAAGGACAGCTGTGCCAGAGCTTGTGACTGACCCAAGGTCACACCAGCAGGTGCAAGTGGAGGAGTGGGGAGTCAAACCCGGTTCTCCCAGATTAGAGTCCGCGCACTTAACCACGACACCAAACTGGCTAAGCAAAGCACGTGCTTAGGGCACCAGGGCCAAAGGGGGTGCCACAAGGTTGGGGAAAGGGTGAATATTGGAACACTTTGACACATTTAACTTGTGAAATATGAAAATAGATGTTGTGTTGCATTTTTGTAGAACTTTATGTAGCCCGAGCTTGGCTTAGTTTGTACAGCGTATGGTGTTCTCCTATGAATAAATGTTTGTATTGCTGCAACCTGCATTCTCTATCTGGTCAGGCAGCTCAACAACTAAAATGGACGGGGTCAGTGTGGAAAGAAGGGGTGCTTAGGGCACTGGTGAGCCTTCATACGCCCCTGGGTCTGGCTGACGGGTTCTGTTCTTACTTACATATCATTGCTCCCGTGCCCCCCCATCTGATAACAAGGTGAAACTGACAATTACACACACACTCTCCCCCCCCCCTTGTGGAATCAATGTTCCCTCTAAGCTATGGAGTCCTGTGAGCAAAAATTCTACTTTGTGAGCTACTGGCATTAAAGTTCTGAGTGAGCAATTTGGCTACTGCATAAATTAGTCTGCTCTGGAGCCCTCCTTCCTGAGCTAAGGCGAAAGTGTGTGAGCTGGAGGCTAAAAAACTGCGAGCTAGCTCACCCTAACTCAGCTTAGAGGGAACACAGGTTGTGGTGCTTATATTTTAGATCGCTTCAATGGAAGCATAATTGTTTGTCCGCGTATTGCTGTTCTATGTGTGTATGTGTGTGTGTGTGTGTATATTATGGAATTTGCAAAATACAAATTCAAAGAAGACAATGTTTTATTCGAAGTGTAAGCTTTCGTGTGCAAAGCGCACTTCTTCGGACAAAAAAAGACATCAAAACGTTTTCTCTTTCCCCCGCTTTTTGGACCCCCTCTTGAGTCCCTCCCCTCCTCGTCCGCTGCCGACCACCCACCCTTGTTTTGCTTTCTCGTTTTCGCGAGGCTTAGCTAGCGGGCAGGACTCCGTCTTTTCAACAAATCTGTTTTGATAGCGCCTGTTTGCTTAGGATTATTGTTGTTGTTATTTCACATGGTGGTTGTGTGGGTAAAAAGAGGGACAGGATGTCCCGGCTTTTGCCCTGTCCCCGCTAGGTGGATGAATAAGGAACTGGGAACCGGCTTCAGCCTCCTTTCTCTGAGATGGCTGAACAGCACTGGATACTCCCGGGGAGCACAACCCTGTGCAGAGTTACTCCAGAGCAGTAGGGGGGCGTCGCTGACAGCAGCCTGGCTGAAGCGTCTCACGGAGAGGACCGGACCCATTTTTCATTGGTCTGCAGCACTGAGAGGGTTAAACCCACTGAGCTGTTTGCTAGAGAGGCCGAGCAAGGACGGGAAGGGAGGGAGATCGGAAAAGAGGAAAGGCTCTTTTCCGGGGGGCGGGGAAGATTTTGAAAGGGGGGAAGAGAAGAGGAAGGGCTTCAGAGACGCAACAGCCGGGAAGAAGCCGGGTCGCGGGAAGGTTTCCTTGGAAAGTGAGTCCTTAGGGTGGGAAAGCTTGGAGGTCCTGGAAGGGAGTCAGGCTGGGATCATTCTCGGCCACTGTTGTCATGGGGTTGCCAACTCCCGGGTGGCAAATTCCTGGACATGGGGGGGGGGTGCATTCTGGGACAGGCCAGTTTTGGGGACGGGAGATCCTGAGACGGGAACAGCGCCGTGGACTCCTCCCTGCAGTGCGAGGATTTCCTCCAGGGGAGCTGATCTCTGTCAACTGGAGGTCGGTTGTAATCCTGGGAGAACAGGAGGCCCCCCTGGAGGCTGACAACCCTGTTAGGCACCAGTTTAGCGCCGCTGTGTAAGTGGAATGTGTGTGTCAGTATAATGTCAGTATAAGGAAGGCTCAAAGTATGAATCTAGATGAGTCTGAACGTGGCAGTAGAAAAGAGTAAGAGTCCAGCAGCACCTTAAAGATGAACAAAATTTGTGGCAGGAGATGAGATTTCGTGAGTCACTGCTCACTTCTACAGATACGTTGGCGTCTGTAGGACTGAGGAGTGACTCTCAAAAGCTTCTACCTCAAATTTTGTTAGTCTTGAAGGTGCTGCTAGACTCTTACTCTTTTCTGCTGTAAGAACCTAACATTTTGTTGTTGGTCCTTTTAATCTGCCAAACAAACAAAAAGCAGGCCTATTTTCGGTTGGATGAGTGTAAACGAGAATCGGGGAAGGGGACTCCTGCTTGCATTGGAATCAACCACACAGCCCCATCCTGAGACCCATTGTGGGGCCGGGGCTGCCACTCCAAGGGCCGCCCAGCAGGGGGGAGGAAAATCTTTTTAAAAAATCAGTTGTGGAGGTGCAGAGAGCAGTTGTGGAGGTGCAGAGAGCAGTGCCAGCAAAGGTCATGGAAACATCACCAATGCCCACCAATCACAGCACCAGGAGACTCCCCTCTGACAGGCAGAGAGGGGCGGATCATGCTGATATGGCCACACCCCCTGGTATCAGCCTCCCACAGACAGAAGACCAGGAGGAACAAATGACACACCTGCATACATCCTGTGAGGATCCTGGCGTGAGGGACAAGACACCTGGAGTAAACATGCCAGGGAGTGCCGCAGGTGTGGGTTTGAGTACCCACCCGCAGCACTATTTTGCAAAAGTGGATGCACCAGGAAGGAACACGGCTGTTCCAACGGCATCGCCCCTGCCCCATCACTCCACAGCTCACTTGGCAGAGGCCACAATAACACAATGCCAAATTCTCCCGCCTCCTGCAGTGGGGTTTGGGTGGGAGGGATGGCATCCTTTTGCCAGGCGAGAGAGGTACAGCCCCCCGGACAACCCAACAGGGAGAAACACAAGGACACAGTCACAGGAGGTGTGGGCTCAGGTCTTGCTAAGGGGGAAGCCATCCAGAATACAAAACTCACCTTTTGTTGGTTAGAAGGCCCAGAAAGGAGTCCCGGATGGGATCGAATGCTGATTGGATGGCCCCAATGCCAAGCATTTTGGCTGGCCCTCTCCACCCCTCATCCACCATCTTCCAGGATGCCAGTGTTCAGGATTAGCCTCAGATTACAACTGATCCCCAGGCTCCAGACCCAAATGTCCAGGAATTTACCAACCTGGAGTTGGTAACCTTGTGCATTCGGCAGAGTTTGTTGTCTTCTCCAGTTCCTCTTCATCCCAGCAGCACTGGGGTGGGCTTATCTCCTGACACACATAGTGGCCATCCAAAGTTGTTCAAGGGCCCCGGTCACACGGGCAGGAAACTGCGGGGGAGAAGCGTGGCTGTTTGCCCTGGGGCAAACTACTGCGCAGTTACTCGATCAGACCTCCCATGGAGGTCCTGTGGAGGTACCGTGGAGGTTCCATGGCAAGGGAGAGGTGCTGATCACAGGACAAGCCGGCGCGCAACGAAGAAGCGCGTGCCGCGGCAAACTGGTTTTTTTTGTGTGTGTACACGACTAATGTGCATGCTCCGTTGGGTGCGTGTGCGCATCCACAGAGACGTGGACAAAAAAAACAACCTTATTTGCAAGGGGACATGGGCGGGCGCCGGATGCCACCGGAAACGTGATCAAACGCCCGCCCTTGCCCCGCAGTTTCTGGAAACTAGTATCTCTGAGGTACTAGTTTTTTGCCACGCAGTTTCGGCTGGAAGCCTCGGTTGTGCCACGGGAGTGCTACGCTTCCCAGATGTGCTGGTGAGATCGCGCCCGGAAACTCCGCCTGTTTTCCGTCTCACTTGTGTGGCTTCTGTTCCATGTGACCGCAGCCAAGGACTGGTTTTAGGCTTGTTCCCAAAAGAGGCTGGACTCTGGAAAACGGTCCTTCTGTCAGGGTGAATTCAGATAGGGGGTCAGGAGAAAACTGATTCTTCTCTGGATGGAAGACTTGTTATCTACAACTTGCTTCTTCAAGAGGAAAGAAGTTCCAAAGGATACTGTTTACTTGGGTTGGTTCCCCTTGGAAGAAGAAAGCCCTGGAGCCTTCTGGGGCCTTGGTACTAGTAGTTTAATGACAACTATACTGGCAGAGCTGAGCAAGGGTGGAGGCCAGAGGAATTCCCACAGAGCAGGAAGTCCACTGGCCCACATCAGATGCCACATCAGATGTTTCTGTGCTTCAACATCCTTGAGCCAGATCCCAGCCTGACTTCCTTTCTCTCCTGGTCTCAGCTGCTCTTTCTTCACACATACACATTCCTGCCCCTTCTCCTCAGCTGGCTGCTTGGACAGAGCTCATGCCTCACACTTCAGGCCTGTCGAAGAGATGTGGAGAATGGTAAAGGGGTCACCAGTCCCTCTCGTCCTTTTTGGGTTTACCTTAAGAATTAGCCCCTAGGAAAGACTGAGCCAATGTAATGAGAAGCTAAGCTTGTTAACATCCTTAAAAGAGTCCTGTCCCCCTACTTGGTTTGGAGCTATGGCTCACTGGCAGAGCATCTGCTTGGCATGCAGAAGGTCCCAGGTTTAACCCCAAGCATCTTCAGCTAAAAGGATCAGGTTTTCTCTCCATGGGGCAATAGAAAGTTATTAATACACCCTTGTCAATTAAAAAAATAGCATAATCTCATAATAAATAACCACCGTTCCCCAATTGAGTTTTAACTCTGTGGATAAATAAGGAACTGCGGAGCAAATAAGAAACTGGAAACCTGTTCAGGCTATGTTCTCTGAGATGGCTGAACAGCACTGGATGCCCCTGGAACACAACCCCGTGCAGAGTTACTCCAGAGGAGTCCCATTGACCTGAATAGGGCATTGCTGCTGGGCAGACTGGCTGAAGCGTCTCATGGAGAGGAGAGGGCCCATTTTTCATTTGTCTGCAGCACTGAAAGGGTTAAATACAGCTGTTTGCTAGAGAGGCCAAGCAAGGGCGTGGGGGGGGGTTGGAAAAGAAGAAAGGCTTCTTTCCAGGAGGGGTGGGGGAAAGTTTTGAAAGGGGGAAGACTAGAGGAAGGGCTTCAGAGAAGCAACAGCCATGGAAAACCCATTGCAGCCGGATTACGGGAAGGATTCCTTGGGAGTGAGTCGTTAGGGGGAAAGCTTGGAGATCTTGGAAGGGGGTCAGGTTGGGATCATTCTCAGCCAGGGTTGTCATGGGCTTGCCAACTCCTAGGTGCAGGGGAAGGATCGGAAGCAGCCACTCGGCAGTTGGAAGGAGCAATAGCAATACACTGTCTTGAGTCTTGTCCCGCTACTTGGGGAGGGTCTGTGTTTCACTGGCAGAGCATGCAGAAGATCGATCCCAGGTTCAATCCCGAGCATCTCCAGTTAAAAGGACCAGGCAGTAGGTGATGTGAAAGACCTTTGCCTGAGACCCTGGAGAGCTGCTGCCGGACTGAGTAGACAAGTTTGACTTCAATGCACCCAGGGTCTGATTCAGTGCAAGGCAACTTCCCATGTTCATGTGCGTGTCCTTGCCCAGGGGTAACTGAGGCCACTGTTGTGGCCATCACCCAAGCCAGAGAAGATGTCCTGGCCTGAGGTAAAGGGGGTGAGAGACCCTCAGAAAGACTCTCGAAGTGGCCAGGTCCTCATTTCTCTGTTGCCAACCTCTGGATGGGATTACAAACATCCGCTCTGGCTTGATCGCAAAATGATTCTGTCAAGAACCCAAACCTGGGCCCCTCTGGGTCACTACTCTTTGTACCTGAGCAGCACCCAGTTCAGTGGGTTCATAAAGAGAGGGTGGACAAGTAAAGTAGGCCCCTTTTAATAATAAATAAAGGTTTATCAGGGATTTAGATGTTCCTAATGACCTAATTAAGGGTCTGACAGAATATTCCCCCTCCCTACTGGCTACACAACTGGATACAGGTTCTCATTTGACAGAATATTTCCCCTCCCTCTTGGTTACACAACTGGATACAGGTTCTCACGATTAACCAATTACCACATTCTAGAGTCTGGCCTTGAAAAAGTTGAGAAGAAGAAGAGTTGGTTTTTATACTCTGCCCTTCACTACCTGAAGGAGTCTCAGAGCGGCTTACAAACTCCTCTCCCTTCGTCTCCCCACAACAGATACCCTGTGAGGTAGGAGGGGCTGAGAAAGAGCTCTGAGAGAACTGAGACTTACCCAAGGTCACTCGGCTGGCTTCATGTGGAGGAGTGGAGAATCAAACCCAGATTTCCAGATTTGAGTCCACTGCTCTTAATCACTACACCAACCTGAATGTTAGCTGCAGGGAGACTCAAATCACAAACACCTGCAAGTCAGAACAGGGCACGTAATAATCATGTTAACCCTCAGGGGAACTAGAGCACTTTGCCTCATAGATCCATTCGCCTTATACTGGTTGGGACTGTGGGCCATTTTTCCATCCTTCTATAGTTCTAGCTTGACAATGGTTCTGTCTTTCCAGAAGAATGCTTACACTTTAATTTCTTTCCCCATACAAGAATGATCTCTCTCTCTCTCCCTCTCTCTCTCCAAAAGAAACCAGAAGTTTACAAAGACCTTGGTTGATACAGACAACAGCCTCGCATCCAAAAAAAGGCTGGAGCATTTCTCAAGACAATCCCGAGAGCTACGTGTGAGTATCCTTGACACTTGTGTCAAGGTAACAGGCAAGGAATAGCCATGGGGGATTTCTGATACACTTCTGGGCAACATTCGGTTTGGTACAGTCATACAGCCCGTTAGGTTAGGAGGGATGGAGGCCTTCTGAAGGCCTGGAATTTGGAAGCTCAGAAACTCCTTCTGAGCGAGAGCTCCACTGTGGCTCTTGAGGGGTTGTGGTACCATTAAATACTAGATATTCTGGAGCCTGGAAGGGTGGTTAAGATCGGTCAACCTGGAGAAGGCCAAAGGGCCATCAGTCCTTTTCTACTGCAGTCACATTAATGCCTTTGGACGTTACCAGCCTTCCCAAGTGCTAACAGGATCTCTCTATTTAATCCAGCACAGGATGATCAGAGGAATGGGGAGGGTGAGGAACTTCATCAGCAAATGCCAGATAGAATTAAAAATGAAATCTTGAAAGAAAACATCACGATTCGAAGCAGACCTACGAGAAAGAAAGGCAGCCATATGGTTGAGAAGCGAGATGGAGAAAGTGGGAACCTTCAGCTTCACCGAACAACCCACACAGGGGAGAAATCTTTTGAATGCCCAGAGTGTGGAAAGAAATTCACTTGGCGTATCGCTCTTCGGATACACCAAAGAACCCACATAGGGGAGGCACATTTTGAATGCTCTGACAGTGGAAAGAATTTCAGTCAGAGTGACCACCTGCAACAGGATCTACAAACACACACAGGAGAGAAACCTTTTGAATGCTCAGAGTGTGGAAAGAGATTCAGATTCACTGGCCATCTTCAAGAGCATCTAAGAACCCATACAGGGGAGAAACCTTTTGAATGCTCAGATTGTGGAAAAAGATTCAGTCAGAATGGCCATCTGCAACAGCATCTGACAATCCACACAGGGGAGAAACCTTTTGAATGTTCAGAATGTAAGAAGAGATTCAGCCGGAGTGGCACTCTTCAAGATCATCTAAGAACCCACACAGGGGAGAAACCTTTTGAATGCTCAGAGTGTGGAAAGAGATTCAGTCACAGTGGCACTCTTCAGAATCACCAAAGAACCCACACAGGGGAGAAACCTTTTGAATGCTCAGTGTGTGGAAATAGATTCAATCGGAGTCGCAATCTTCAACGGCATCTAAGAACCCACACAGGGGAGAAACCCTTTGAATGCTCAGAGTGTGGAAAGAAATTCACTTGGAGCGCCACTCTTCAGAAGCACCGAAGAACCCACACAGGGGAGAAACCTTTTGAATGCTCAGAGTGTGGAAAGCGATTCTGCCAGAGTGGCCATCTGCAACATCATCTAAGAACCCACACGGGGGAGAAACCTTTTGAATGCTTGGAATGTGGAAAGAGATTCAGTGAGAGGGGCAGTCTTCAAGAGCATCAGAGAACCCACACAGGGGAGAAACCTTTTGAATGCTTGGAGTGTGGAAAGAAATTCACTTGGCGTGCCGCTCTTCGGATGCACCAAAGAACCCACACAGGGGAAAAACATTTTGAGTGTTCAGAGTGTGGAAAGAAATTCAGTCAGAGTGGCCATCTGCAACAGCATCTACGAACCCACACAGGGGAGAAACCTTTTGAATGCTCAGTGTGTGGGAAAAGATTTAGTCAGAATGCCACTTTTCAACTGCATCAAAGAGCCCACACAGGGGAGAAACTTTTTGAATGCTCAGAGTGTGGAAAGAGATTCAGTCAGAGTGGCAATCTGGAACGGCATCTAAGAACCCACACAGGGGAGAAACCTTTTGAATGCTCAGAGTGTGGAAAGAGATTCAGGTTGAGTCACACTCTTCAGCGGCACCAAAGAACCCACACAGGGGAGAAACCTTTTGAATGCTCTGAGTGTGGAAAGAGATTCAGTCAGAGTGGCCATCTGGAACAGCATGTAAGAACCCACACAGGGGAAAAACCTTTTGAATGCTCAGAGTGTGGAAAGAGATTCAGTCGGAGTGACACTCTTAAACAGCATCAGAGAACCCACTAAAGGGGAGAAACCTTTTTAATGTCAGAGTGTAGAAAGAGGTTCAGGTTGAATCAAAACCTTCAATGGCATCAGAGAACTCACATAGGGGAGAAACATTTTTTATTGCTCAGAGAGTGGAAAGAAATTCAGGTTGAGTGCCACTCTTCAACAGCATGTGACACATCGGTGAAACCTTTTGAATGCTCAGAGTTTGGATAGAGATTCATGTTGAGTTGCACTCTTCAACAGCAACAACCCACACAGGGGAGAAACCTTTTGAATACTCAGATCGTGGAAAGAGATTCAGTTTGAGTTGCCCTCTTCAACTGAACCTAAGAACCCACATGCAAGAAACGTTTTGTATGCTCAGAGTGTGGAATTCCGCTCAGCATAGAAATCTTCTACAGCATCTGCGAACTCACATGAGGAAAAACCATGCAACTGCTTAGCCCATGAAGAGAGCTTTTCTCTTTTTTCACACCTAAAAGAAAACAGCCAACTACATAAAGCATTAAAGTATATAATTTTTTTAAAAAGAGCTTGAATCTACACAATAATTTTACCCTAACTAGGAAGAGATGTTAAAACCTCTTGGGCTGTGGAAGGACCGTATCCATGTCTGAAGCCCTCACAGGGAAGAAAGCAAGGATGGGCTCTGAACGCTTGAAGGAGATTCAAGATCAGCTTATGTCTCCTTTAGCTTGGCGGAGTCCATACAATGGAGGAGCCTCATACATTCTCAGTGTGTGTGTGACAAGAGCTTGAGGCAGAGATCCAATTTTCATGTTCTTCAGAGAATCCATACGACGGTGAAGCATTCCTATGGCTGGTTCCAACGTGGGCCTTCGTCAGACGCCCAGGTGTTGGAGGTTCAGCAAGGCTCAGAAAGTAGTTACGCAAAGGAGGGCCTTTTTGGTGGTTGCCCTCCTCTGTGAAACTCGCCACCTCAGGTGATCTGCCAACCTAACTCTTTCTGACAGCTACAAAAATGGCAAAAGCATTTCCTTTCCCAAATCCTGTGAGGGAATAGACAAGTTGAGAGTAACAGATATCTACAGCCTCTCTGCTCAGGCATAAACAGAGTGTGACCAGCTGGCATCCTTAATTCACAAACATTTTTATCTGACAAGCAGATCTAGAGAGGCATTACTCAACCGTAATCCCCACCCCCACCCCGTCCAGCCCGATGTGAGTTTTGGGGTGTCACCACCTTGAGCCCAAAGAGTTTTGGCAATAGGGTTTATTTGGGTTGAAAGGAAAAGCTTGTGTCCCTCAACCCAGCAACTCAGTACGTTCTAAGGGGTCAGACCCCCCTCCAATATCATCCAGTAGTATGGAAATGGACTGGTATCTGTGGAGTTGGCAGGTGAACCTTATGGGACACAAATTCCCCAATCCCAATTGTCCTCCCCAACCACCCCCAGATTCTCCCAGAGAGAATCAGGAAGGATAAGTAAGATATAAGGATCCCTCCTCCTCGTTCCCCCCCCCCCCAACTCCATGAGCCAGCAGTGACCCGGAGTAAGCCCCGGGCCAAGGCTTATTCCCCACCACGGACTCCTCAGAGCTCCCCTTGAATTCCTCCTGGGAGATTGTGCCTTTATGCAGCAGGCTGTGGAATTTCATCTGATGAAGAAAACACTTTTTCCTTCCAGGCAGCTGGCAACCCTAGATTAAATATTTCTTCATGAATCAGTGAAAATAAAACTCAGTTAAAGAAGGGTCATAACTCATTAAATAGATTATTTGTATTAAGAAGCAGAAGAGGAGGAGATTGGATTTATACCCCTCCCTTCACTATCCAAAGGCGTCTCAGAGCAGTTTACAATCCCTTTCTCCTCCCCTCCCCACAACAGACACCCTGTGAGGTAGGTGGGGCTGAAAGAGCTCTGAGAGAACTGCCCTTGAGAGAACAGCTCTGAAAGAATTTACAACTAACCCAAGGTCACGCCAGCAGTGGAGGAGTGGGGAGTCAAACCCAGTTCTCCCAGATTAGAGTCTATGATCCTAACCAGTACACCAAACTGGTGTCTTATTAAGTAAATAAAACTTTGTGTTTTCTGTGCTTTGCCGGTTTTTAATGAGTTGGACATAATTAAATGTGTCAGAGGTTAGTGTGGGAGGTCTTTTTTCAATTGTGTCTAAAGCTCTAAATAAATCCTCTTGCAGGCTCTTGAGACTCACACCTGGGGCCATGACTGATCCCCATGAATGAACCTGACCCAGTTTGCCCCCATTCATGATGTGGGTCAGTGAAGTTCAAGAGCCAGAGTGTTGGGTTATAACTTGGTGGATCTGGGTTCAGATCCACAGTAGGAATGGAAGGTCTTTGTATACCCTTTATCCTGTCACATTTTCAGGCTAACAGATAGTTGTAAGCAGTGTTCCCTCTGTGCCAAGTTAGTGTGTGCTAGCTTTTTTATTTATTTATATTTTATTATTTTCCACATAACATGTTTACAACACAAATCTCATACATTTTTGGAGTGATATACAAACTGTTTCTTCCAATTATACACTATGGCACTGCCAGTGTCTACTTAGAGTGTGTGTGTGTGTGTGTGTGTGTGTGTGTGTAAAGTTGTTTTCTTATTCACTGCCAGTGGTTGTTAAACAATTACTATCATCTCCTCGAACTCCTAGACAAATAATACGTAATTTAATAAACAGTTCACTAATAACTTACTATATTATTTCAGTTAGGCTTTAACCATGAACCACGCGCTGTTTCTCATAATATTCTATCTCCGAAGTTTTATATTCTTTAATTACTATCTTTTGAAACAATATCTATTTCTTCATAGTGGAGTTCTTAGAGGTTGTCACCTTACTTTGGGTCTTCGGAAGAATCCGAAGGGGGTCTTTTCCTAAGACCCCGCCCTGTGGGAAGTAGTGGGGGAATTCCTCCCAAATGCCTTACCCGCCCTGCTCCGATTATATATAAAAATATTCTTTTAATCTTCATTTCTCTCTCTGAGGGCTCCAGAAGTTATCAGAAGCTCTTAAAAGTTCCTGTGTAGTTCTTAGGGCACGTCTCTATTGAAGTTTATTATATAGCTTCTTTTTCTAAAGTTCTTAACATATCTTCCCCAGATTTGACATCATGAACAGTGAAGGCTCTGCCTTTATGATTTCTTGAAAGGTGTCCGAGTGGAAGCCAGCGATAACGAATATGTCTTTCTGCTAAACGTTGTGCAATTGGTTTCAGGTTCCGGCGTGCTGTTAGAATCTTATATGGTAAATCTTGGTATACTTGAACCCAAGTGTCCTCCAGTTGAAGTCCATTATTCATCCTGGCAGCTTCTAACACAATCTTCTTTGCTTTAGTGTCAATTAGTTCAGCCACTATATCATGGATCAAAGCAGGAGAGCCTGATTCAAACAGTATGCTTGACTGATTGGTGAAGCCGGAAGTGCCCATAAAGTCTTTATCCATTGCAAAATTTGGGGAAATCCCCCTAAGTTTGATTTTCCTTTCACAGGCTTTGATGTTCAAGAGTATAATTTTACTTTTGCTCCATGCTTCAAAAGTCCTTAGTTCTTCTATTGCCTTTGAATTTTTTGCAGCCTCTGTCAACGCGTTATCTGTTTTCTCTTTCAAGTCTATTATATTCTGATTTTTTTTTAAAGGAAAAAATGCAAAAGCACCATTTATTAGTTTGTGTAAAATATTAATATTTCACAAAGAACAGTTTTATCCGGTGCTCCTTAAAATCAGTCCAATGTCCGCCTGCAGCTCAAAGAGAGGCACTGAGTGGTCAATGGAGATCTCATTGTTCATGGCAGATTCATATGAACAGCTACCGTGGTCATTTTGGAAGTGTTATAATGTGTGCACCCTTGTCATGGGAGCAGCCTGCACATGATGGAATGGCTTGAAAAAAGGTGGCTGGCATGTGACTAGACAAGTGGGACACTTGGCATGGAAAAATTTGGGCATTTATCCTTTTGATCTCAATTTGGGCATTTATCCTCAGATCTCAGTTTCTGGAAAGTTAGATTTCAGTTTCTTTGAAGAGCCAGTTTGGTGTAGTGCAAAGAACAGTTTTATCCAGTGCTCCTTAAAATCAGTCCAATATCTGCCTGCAGCTCAAAGAGAGGCACTGAGTGGTCAATGGAGTGGTTCATGGCAGATTCATATGAACAGCTACCCTGGTCATTTTGGAAGTGTTCTCATGTGTGCACCCTTATCATGGGAACAGCCTGCACATGATGGAATGGCTTGAAAAAAGGTGGCTGGCATGTGACTAGACAAGTGTGACACTTGGCATAGAAAAATGTGGGCATTTATCCTCTATTTGGCACAACTGCTGTTCCTGGTACATTTTGCTACCATGATGGAATATCCACAGTCCTGAGAGAAGTGTCCACTTGTAAGTGCTGAGAAGCTTAATCCTACCCCCCCTGCTTACATTTCACCAGATTAAAATCTACAGTATAACAAGTAGGAAAGTATCTGACAAAGTACACCAACAGTTCAAACCTAACACACTGAGAGGATGAGCATCTCTAGATCAATGTCGTTCTATGCATGAGTGGTTCCTGGAATTTAGGAACATTATTGACATGTTCATTTATTTTTTAAAAAAATCTTTCCTGCTACATCAAAAGGTGTTTGTTATGTCTAACGTGATTCTTATAAACCTTTTGGATAAAATGACAGATGACAAAAATCAGTGCTGTACATTTAATTAAAACCCTGTCTGTAACAAGCGGTGTGGAAAGTCAGATCTCAGTTTCTGGAGAGTCAGGTTTCAGTTTCTATGAAGAACACCGACATCGAGCTTTTAATGAATTGGGGTGATGATTTCCTTCAGTTCTTTTTTCATTTCTGAAAACATAGCTTGTATATCCTTTTTTGTTGTTGAATCCTCGCGTTTCCTTTTGCCCATTCGAGTACCTGCTTCTTTGTCTGAATCTGCTTGGGGTGGGGGGGGGAGTCCTCCTCCGAAGTTTGCATAATCCTCTCGGTTTGTTGAGGTTCTTTGACGCTTTTCTTTCCTCCTTT